CTACTGGGTTTTATTAAAAAAAACTCTGACCAATAGTTGTTAATCAATTGTTAACAAGTTATAGGTAACCTGTGAAGGGTTAAAGTTTTGACGCAGTGACCACTTGTTGCTTGTTTCTAGCAGAGCAACACGTGGTGGTAATCCAAACACCTGGTTGGTTGTGTGCCTTTATAACCCCTGCAAATCTTTAGCTCAGGGCTCTCCTCCTAGGCTCCTCTGTGTTGGAGGGTAGGACGAGGCCTGAGCTGCAGCCCATTTAAATAAAACCTTAAAACAGCTGTAGAGTCCGACTCTCGGTGGTCTTCTTGGTGGGGGTCCTGCAACCTAGGCATAACACCTGTATCTCATTGATCTCCTTGTTGCTTTAATTGGAAATAAAAGGGCTTGTGTAACAAAGACTCCTTTTGCCACAGTTCAAAACCATCCCAGGCACAAAACAATCCCTCTAAAACTCCATCTCTCAGCTAATCATCAAGGAGCCAGGCTGGAGGCATGGCTCCAGACTCACCTGTCTGTAAAGGAATTTAGTGTCCTTCCCATGGTAAGTGACCTGAAGCCAGGCGCCTACAGTAGAGCATCATCTACAGTGCTGGTTAGCTCCTAAAGGGGGGGTGGTCCCACCAGTGGGGAATGTCGTCACGTTTGTCCATGGGGAGGGGGGCGTCCTTGGGCCATGGTAGACCCCTTGTGGCTAGGTCCAGGCACTTGGCCAAATTTTGCTTGGATGGGGGCTGGGTTAGCCCACCAACCCCTGGTGGCCTTACCACTGAGATATCCCCATTGGAAACTTGTACCTCAGATAAACTGGTCACTTACCCTGGAGTGGGACTTAATTAGCCGTGTTGGATGGGCTGGTAGAGCACTTGGTCAGGAGAAAGTTACCTTCGTGGCCCTCTGGTAACTGGATTGTAGGATCTCAGGATAGGCCCCAAGGCAGCTGGTCAAACCCCCTTCCAAAGTGGAGTGGGGGAACAAATCCCTGGGGGAGCCTATCCCTGTATGGCCCACCAATGAAAGAGGATCAGACACATCCATCCCAGGGCACCATGCAGAGGCAGGCAGGCACAGGAGAAAGATTATTATAAGGTGTATTAGAAAAGCCATATTTCCCACAAGAGGGAACACATGGCCTCCATCACCATCCAGGTGGCAGGAGGGTCTGAGGGATAGGAAGTGAGGTAGATGGGAGTTCAGGTGGGTCTGGGCAGAGAGAGGCCAGCTGTATGGAGGGGGGCCCAGGTCTGGGTGGAGCTGAGGACCAAAGATGAGTATAACACTAACACTAACAAAACACCTTAGCCACAGGACTATTATGAGGATTAGTTTTGTTAGTACTTGTGAAACAGTTTGAATAGTATTGTCTGGGTGTTTATTAAAGAAATTAAAACCAACCAGGCTCCGGGATGCAAGCTTGTAATTCCATCAACTTGAAAAGCAGAGCTGAGGAGGACCACTATCTAAGGCCAGGCCTGGGCAAAATCTTGAGATCCTACCTGATAAAGTAATAAAAGAAGGAATGAGAGAAAGAGAGGAAGAGAGAAAGAAAGAAGGGAAGAAGGAAAGAAAGGAAGGAAGGAAGCAAGGAAGAAAGGAAGGAAGAAGAAAGAAGGGAAAGAAAGAAAGAAAGAAGGGAGGGAGGGAGGAAGAAAAGCAAGCAAGAAAGAAAAGAAAATGAGAAAGAGGGAAAGGAAGCGAGAATAGAGAAAGGAAGAAAGGAAAGAAAGCAAGAAAGAGAAAGGAAGAAAGAAAAGGGGAGTCAAGTATAACAGGATTTCTTGGGATTATGAGGTATCAGCAGGAAGGGGAAGGGTAAACAATGCAGAGGGTGAATAAGAAGGAATATATATATATATATATATATATATATATATATATATATATATACACACACACACACATATGGAAACCGAACAATAAAACCTATTGAAATTGCCTTAGAAGTGGGGAGGGGCTAATGGAGAGTGACAGAGGGGTAAGTTTGATGAAGATATGTTGTATGCATTTATGGAAATGCCAGAATGGATTCCCTTTCCCCGTCTTTCTACAAGTCATATATGTTAATAAAATTGTGGAAAAAAGAAAATCAATGGCTTTTCTGTATACCAACAATGAGAAAAGTGTGGCTGAAATTAGGAAAGTAACTCCATTTGTAATAGCCCCTCAAAAAATAAAATAACTAGGAATTAACTTAACCAAAGAAGTGAAGGACCTCTATGATGAAAACTTTAAAATCTTGAAAAAGGAAATCCAAACAGGACTTAGAAAATGGCAAAACCTCCCATGCTCCTGGATTGGAAAGATTAACATCGTGAAAATGGCAATACTTCCCAAGGCTATCTACAAATTCAATGCGATACCTATCAAAATTCCAACCTCATTCTTCAAGGAAATAGAAGAGGCAATCCAAAAATTCATATGGAACAATAAAAGACCCC